GTAACTAAAGCTGTCAAAGTAGTGGAGTCAAAAGTACAATATTTAAAATACCAGTATGTCAAAATAGTAAATAACATTCCACCACTGCTTAAAATGGTGTAAGTGGATTTGGTCAAATAATATGTTTTTTGGGTCATTTTCTGTGTGTGTGTATCTGGATAATGTTTTGACACAAGTGTGTACAGCTGTGCGTGTGATACGTCTTCATCTATCTTCTCACATTCGTCATTTTGCATCTGTACCAGTGTGGGGGGGTGTGTGTGTGGAAGCACTTGCATGTGTGTTTTTGTGTTGTGCCTTTGGCAACAACATTAAGCCAACATTTCTAAGAGGATTCTCACTCTATTGCTCATGCGACACCGACACACACACACGAATACACACACATTTATTTTAATATTAACTGCTCAGATCAGAGCAAATATTACATTTGGCATATTAGTGACGATCAAGCGAGTCAAATCCCTAAAGGCATTTCATCACAGGGCTTGATATGAATCGGAAAAGCAGTAGATTCATCTTTTAAAGAGATCGGAGAGATGGTTGAACGCAATTAACCCGGCTATCAGGGTTCAATTCATCTTGAAAAGTCACCTGATTGGAATTTTATGAAACATTTGTGTTTGCTTGACGAGGAAGTAGTGATGAGCTTTTAATGCCAAGTGACCAGAGAAAGGTAGGTGTGTTTCTTTTTGCTTGGAGGTAAACATGCAGCGTCAAAATGTCTAACTCGTGATCTACTCCATCAAACCTCTTAGCTGACATGAATACAGGCAGACCCTCCCTAATTAACCCAATCAAACTCAACCAAGCGTAACCCTCGAGTGATGGATCGCCTGCTGCAGCTCATGTGAAGTGTGTTGAAAATTATTAATAGGAAGAGTTTTGCTCGATTGGTCGTTTCATGTTGACATTTGGGTGCTGGCGTTTACAGCCTCAAATGAATTATGGCAGTAGTTGAGCTTTAAAAAGGAGCACAAACACCTGTGTATTCAATCAACAACTGTGTTAGCTATAGAATCAGACATTTGTTCCATGATAGAATGAACAAAATAAAAGATTACAAAAGAGATGTGGAATTTATTATATAATATACGAAGTAAAAGGTGCAATTAAAGATAAGATAAACAAACATAAGAATTAAAGTAAAACGTAAAATCAAAGATACAAAGTCAAGTGCCGGGATATTTAGTGCATGATGCTCGGAGGGAGGGGTAAACAGTCTGATAGCCACAGGCCTACACTCTTTATCAAACATAAAAGCGTTCAAAAGGAATGCTGCAAAGTGGTTCAAGATTTGTATTAATTCGTTGTTTTCCAAAGCTTTTATTTATTTATTCTTTTTATCATGAGTTCAAAACTTTACACCTTTTATACAAACAAAAGTAAGTCAAACATGTTACCAAAACAAAGAGGGGGATACAGTTTACAGCTAGTAATGTAGTTTCTATTGGCTTATCACTTTTATACTATAATAACATTATGTCAATCGCTTGATATGGGGCCGATGTCTTTATGTCAGAATCAGAATAGGAATACCTTTATTCGGCCCATAGAGGGGACATTTGCATTGTATTAAGTAAAGAGCCAAGATAGCTTAATATCAATCACTAAACATGCAGACAAATATTGAAGGTAAAACTAGAAATTACACAATTTACAAAATACACATGTCAAAACCTTATACATTTTTCCCGTTTTCTGTTTTTCACTCTTACAGAATAAGTCATTTTAGTTTTCTTTTTTTAGCCACCGTTTATTTTCCCAGGTATAAATTGAAACATTTCTTTGAGATTATACATCCTAATAAGGCTCTATTATTTGCGAATCTCCAGTATATATTTGCTTTATTCACCTCGGTATTTCCTCAACCGTGTTTGTTGACATTCGTTGTTTGCTTTTTATATAAGGAGTAATAAAGTAAAAAACTATTTCAATTTAGGTGAATTTGTTGAATCAAGTGCTCCACTATGATGCCATTCTCTTTAGGTTTGACATACAATGTAGTTCCAGCCTTACGGTTCATTAAGCTATGATGAAGTGTAGAAATAAGCCATGCTGTTGTTTGATGAAACACATTGACTTCTTCCACAGGAGTATTTCCCTCCGATTCCTCCCTTTTTAGTTTTTATTTATATTTCTGACGTGAAAAATGACACTGCAACTCCAGAAAATGACATCAGCGAGTCCATATGTTTGTATTGGAAAACTAAATAAGGATAAGGCAGGAAGTCAGACTGCAGTCTGCTCCCTCCACCCCATCATCGATTATATACTAACCTTTCTCTCCCTGTGGAGCTCCTCTTCTAAAAATACCCCCCTGGTTTCCCTGTAAACCTCATCAGTCGGTGTCAGTGTGTGTGTCTGTCCTTGCAGGTTATTTACTGCTAGTTTGTGTCCTTGTTTTGTATCTGTTTGGTCAAAGGATATGAAAGTAAAACGCTTCTTTGCCCATCTTCTGACTCTGCCATCTGTTTCTGTGCCCTCCAATTCTGGCTTTTACAAAAATCCATGAAAGGGATTTGAGAGGAATCGAGGTGGATGACGTACATCTTGCTCATGATCGGGCTCCGATCCATCTCATGACCTCTGTTACGTCTCTGCCGTTTATTGCTACATATTGAATTATGTCAACTGAAAGCCTCCTGCTTATAACACGTTTGGTGTCATGTGTTGCAGAGTTGTTGCAAAGCCGTTTTGAAGAGCAGGGTCTTCTGCAAGAAGGCAATCGCGGGTTTTCCCCCCACCTCACCATGATGAAGCTGTCCCGAGCATCGAAACTACGATCCCAGGTACACACACATTTATATAGTGTGGAGAGATGCTCAATATCTTAGCATACTATACAAGGCTATATTGACATGATTATGAGTCCAACATGCCTTTTACTGCTAATAATGGACTCCCCATCAACTTTCTCTTGAACATGATATCTCAGGAATACATTGAGTGAGTTTCTCATGTGTCTCATATTTGGTACATCTGTCCACTTGGACTCAAAAAGGAACTGATAAAATGTTGTGGTCAAAGGTGGAGGTCACTGTGACCTCATAAACATGGCCATAACTCTTTTAAAATAATGTATATGCTAATTTAGATCATTAAAAAAAGGATTAAAATGCACAAATATATATATATATATATATTTTGTAACTGTTATATTTACTTAATAAGTACTCAGACCTCACCTTTTAGTGTAAGGGAAGCTCCACATTGTGATGTCAAAAGCATCACTAAACTGGTGATTATGTCACAACACAAATTCAATATTTTTTTCCATAACAATGTCTGTATTTACATAACAAATAGTATACACATATCCAAACTAATTTGCACTGTCACAGCATGGTTTTTGTTTTAATGGATAATAACAACATGCAGTATATTCGCATCGAATGATTTACTCCAGTCATGCTTTTATACGCAGTCCAAAGTAACGAGCTCTCTTGACTGATTCAGAACAGTAGCTCAGTGGCTGGGAAATGTCCAGCCAAGCAACTGAATTCCTAGCTGTTGTAATACAAATCAACTAAATAATTCAATAGTTTATGAACCATTATATTAGGGTGTATTAGTGGAAGAAAACTCAGGAGTTAAAGAACAGTTTAATGTGATGGAGCTATTGAGGAAATAGAGTAGGATATAAATAAAGCTGAGGTGGAAGAGGACAGAAAGATGAGTACTGGTCAGGGGGAGAGACAGGAAGGACAGCATCCATCTTTTTCTTCCTTTGACACCTGATGACATCATATCCTGACTGGCGTCTGCTGGGCGGCATCCTTGTCTTCCCCTGTCAGCGTGTGAGTGTCTACATCTGTGTGTGTGTGTGTGAGAATATCCTAAAAGTGTGATAACTTTTCTTTCCGTCTCTCAGGGTATGAAACGTGTGGACCCAGCCCTCTACTCAAACTATACAAACAAGTACGTGCTGTTTTATTCAGATAACTGTTTCTTATTTCCGGCACTGTTTTATTCCATTGCTCCAGTCTGGATTCTCAATGATAACAGATCATTGGTTTAATTAATCATTTTTTTAAATAGCACATTTCAACACAAGACAATTCAAAATGCTTTACAAAAAACTTAAAAAGCATTAAAGCATAGTGCAACAGTAACACAGCCTTTAACAATACTTTCACTTTCACATTGGCACACACTTGCCATTTTGTTTTGTGTACAATGATAGGAATTGGCTTAGCGTCCGCAGCTCATAGCCAAAGTGGGCGTGGGAGCGAGCGAGAGAGATAAATGCAATTTATGTAAACAAATTATTTCCAATGCACACTTTTATAATTATTGGGATGAACAGGTTTGAAATCATTTCAATGTATACTATAGGACAGTAACCAAAAATATAGTTTAAAAACTGGAGAGATAAAAAAATATGCATAAATAAATGTTAACTAGGTAAAATAAGATATGAATGAACAACAAAAATAAAATAAGTTACATTTATTTTGTATTGGCTATGATAGGTTATTGGTTATGTTCACATACTTATTTGGTTATTAAAATGTAAACCAATCTTTTCATATGGGTGTTTAGAGTTGTACCCCCTACATCTAATCAATAGTAATTGTGTGCTTAAAGTGCACCAGATTGAAGCATTTTACTTTAAAATGTTCAACATTTCTTCCCGGGGGTGCATACTCCCGGACCCCCCTAGAGGATGTGATGTCCACCCCCCTATTAAAACATGTTCATACAATACTGAATACATTTGAAGCCTTTTTGATGTATATTACCTATGTCAATAAGTTTCTGTTTTTGTAGTGTATTGGTCTTTTGTAGAGATTTTTCGTTTATTCTTAATATATTCTGTTGTGTATTCCTTGGATACTTTTATTTTTTTCTACTGTACGATTTTCTAGGGCAGCAAATTGGTTAGAACCGGCCCCGCAAATGACTAATACGCATGCCAAATGTGTGTTACTGTGAAGTTGACATTTTAAAATGTTACGTTTGTAAAGTATCCTTCTGTTTCCCTCTTATTCCCGCAGATAATCAGCCACAAATGCGAAAGGAGGTGAGATAACCTAATATTGAAAAAGCACACTTATTAGGCGCATTCACACCGCAGTACTTTTCCCACAAAGGTTCATCAGAACTTAGTTCATGAGAACTCGTTAGTTCTCATGAACTAAGTACAGATCGCGTTCACACCGGCATAAGTTCCTGGGGAAGGATTAGGCAAATGAAGCCGCTGACGTCACTTCTTCTTCTGCTTTGGGTTTACTGGCAGGCCGCAAACAACTTCACGGCGTATACTGCCACCCGAAGTCCCCGGCCTGATAAAAACTGATCCAGATTTGATCAGATCCGTTCCAGCCCCTTTTTTAGAGATTTGGGTATGGAGGAAAATAGAGAGGGTTGTGTTTTCTGACACTTGGTGAGTTCCCTGGAACACCGGGGACACATATTCATGTATAAAAGACGTGCATTTTGCATGATAGGTCCCCTTTAAGCTTTAAAACAAATGAATAACGACTATATATAATAATAAAATACACAGAGCCTGTCCTCTCTTTTTCCTCTCTTCCGACAGCGTCAGTGTCTGTCTCATGCAGCAGCTGATCCAGTAATGAGTGACCCGGCCGACAGTAAAAAATAAACATATTTATAACTAGTTTAGGTAGTTTGAGAGGTAGGCTAATTGAAATAGCTAAGGGTGATGATCTGACTTGAAGTGTGTGTTTTGCTCCCGCTGCATCACAGAGGGAGGAGCTGCACGTCTCCGTCCTGTCAGATTAGACTTCACTCGCGTTTATGTCCATATCGAGATAAAGATAAATAATCTGAATTCAGTGTGCAGTTTACTTTTGCGGGGTTGAGCAGCAGAGGTGGGGGGTGGCAGGGCTATTGCGTCATCATTATCACAAAATGATCGTATAGAGGCGATCACACGGAGCCGTATGACCCCCCAGAGCGCTCCGTTTCCAGATCTATCCACCTTTGGACCCGTTATAGTTTGCGGGGTCCGTTTCTATCGTTTAGTTACGGCCTCGTGTGGCAAAAAGGGCTATACGCAAGAGAAATATGCGGATACAACCCGTTTTCGTCCTCGTGGGGCACCAGCCTTATAGGGAAACATTCAAAGATAACCCACATGACCTCACAACATCATGTGAGGCCAGGTGTTTGCCTCATGGCACAGCACTGTATGCTAAAACTCACACCCAAGGAACAATCGTAACTTCCTTCCACTCATCCTCTCTTCCTGTAGTGTCATAAAACCCCCTTCCAAAGACATCTGTTATCACACATCCGTTTACATGACATTCTCAGGATGCAGCACGACTTTGCGGCTGCGGGTATAAAATATCGAGCACGGACTCACACCAGGTCTGCCCGTCCTGCCTTGGGCTGGAACATGCCCGGAAAGCTATCGACGCCCCCGGTTCGTGCGGACACTGTGCCCGCTTCACCATCAAGAGCCTCCGCCGACGGCTAGCACGCCAAGCTAGCCTGTCGGGACGAGACCCTTTCATGTCTAGCGATATGCCGGCCGGCAACCGAGACATGGGGGAAGCCGCCACGGAGGCTGAGCCGTGCGCTGAGGCTGAGACTTGCGCTGAGGCTAGCTGGGGCTCCCAGCTGGACCTCACCGTGGCTCCGCCCGTGGAGGACGTCTTGGAGTTGGACTATATGGAGGATGACGACGAGGGTACCTCGAAAGCATACCAGCTTCGCCCCGTCTCAGCATGGATTTGTAAGCCGTGTGCCAACGCGCTGCATCCAGGCTGGACATCCCCTGGCCTGAAGTAGTGAAGGAGACCACCAGATCTCGCTACGAAGGGAAGAATTTTCCCCAGGCTGCGAGGATGGCAAGACAGCTTCTCCCAGTTTTTCCGGAGCTGTTGGACGAGGTGTCTGTCTCGTGGAGGGACCACCCGTTCAGCAGTAAGTCCCCGATCCAAGGAGCTTCCTCTCTGGATTTCGAGGGCATGGGGAAACTCGGCTTGCTTCGCATGCCTCCCATGGAGCCGCTAGTTGCAGCCCACCTCCAACCGCGGCTGTCTTCGGCGTCCAATAGGAGCCCCACACTGCCGGCAAAAGCGGATCGTTTTCAGTCAGCAATGACCGAACGGGCTTACAAAGCGGTGGCTTTGTCTGTAGGGCGCTCAACGTCTCGTCAATGCTGACTGCAGAGCTGTGCGAGGACATGGCGAATAAACCTGAGCCTGCTGTGTGGGACGAGATTACCGCGGTCACGGACATTTGCCTCCGCGTGCAGCGCTGTGCGGTCCAAGCCACGGGTAAATCACTTGGGATCATGGTAGTGCAGGAGAGAACCAGGTGGCTTAACCTGACGAACCTACCAGACAGGGAGAAAGAGGACATTTTGGACATGCCAATTGTCCCCGAAGGCATATTCGGCACCGCTCTGGCTTCGATGCAGCAGCGGTGTGAGGCCAAAAACAGAGAAGACAAGGCTCTCCAGCTCTGTCTTCCCCAGAAGGTCCAGCCGCCGCCTCTGACGGCCCCGCGACAGACCTTCGCTCAGGCTGCCTCGCGACCCTCCCAATTTAAGATCCCGAAACGGCCAAAGCCACATCCCGCCCCGGTTCAAAACCCGCCCAGGCATGAGGCGAGGACGAACTGGCCAAGGAGGTCCCCAGCCCCGACAGCAGGTGCACCGGCACAGCCGGCCCAGACTTTCGGTCATCAAGCGAGGAAGAAGAAGAGAGCGGCCTGACAGCCTTCCCTCCTCTCCTCGGTGGAAGAGCTGGAAGCAGTGTGCAAAATACGGGGGGGTCCGGGGTAGGGATGGGAACGATTAATCGAATATTTGAATATTCAAAATTATTCAGGTATTCTAATAATTATTCAGGTATTCGAATATGAGTTATGAATATTTGTATTAATTTTTTCTTTTCTTTTTTTGGGAGGGATGCCTAAGTTGATTACATATTATCAAATTGAATAATTCAATGTATACGACAGTGCCATAGCTAAATGTTTTAGGTGACGTCTAAAGGTGTGTTTTGCTCCGCTCACCGGTCCCTCACAGCGGGCAGAGCTGCAGGTGCTGATCTCTCTATCTCGCGTCCGGTACTTCACTCGCGTTTATGTCCAAATCCATCAGATCTAGCTAGTTCTAGCTAATGATATGGCTGCTGCCCCTGCCTACACGCAAATCACGCAGACTCAAACCTCATCTTATGCCCAAATGCGGCGCAAATGCGCTCCGCAGCCGTTGCGAGGTTCCGGCGCTAACAGTTCATGAGCGTGCTCCCCCGCCCCCTATCAACACTCGCGACACATGAGTGGCCAGCCTAAACAACAATAAGCACTGCTTGGCAACCGTGTGTGGCGGCAAAGGACATTTTGACAGGAGAGATTTAGTTTTGCCGGTATTCAACATATTTTACCAGTCATAGTCCGGTAATTATTTACACTCTAAGAAGAGTCCTACACAACAGACATGGCGTCAAATATTTCGACCAGGTTAGTGAGTGCGGTGTAGAGTGCAAACTATGCCAAATTAAACTTATATATATATACTATACCTTGCTATACCCGCAACCTCCGTTCCAGCTGATTGTGAATCGCCTCCGCACATGAAAGCTGTAGGCCTATAGCTGTCAAACTGTGATCACCAGTTCAATACATTTGACAAATTCGACTTGGTTGCTATACTTATTTGAACATGTATTTATTTATTTCCAAAAGTTATTGAAAATTCTTTTTTCGAAAATAAATGTTTTTGGTGGATGTTTTTGACCCAATTATATCTTCTATTTTGGCTGGCCAAAGCATTTCCTCGCATAGAATCGAAAACAGACGGCTCTTTAACCGTCGCGTATTCATTCATTCTTGTGAACATCAGAATATATAATTATTTGACGGCACCAGAGGTCGCGTTAACCGAATATTTTCCGTCTATGACAGATTTTTTTTAACAATGACGGAAAAATCTGAAAGCAGTCTGTCATTTTGACAGATTAGAACAAACTCGGAACAGCGCCAAAGTTTCCCCGCAGCGGGGCTCCGGTGTTATGCATGCCCTCCAAAAAGGAAATGATATCGTTTCCAAACCTAACTTTGCCGTACAAATCATTGAAATGTATGGGAGTTTTTGCTTTACGCTGTGCACGCTACCGCGAGGTGCAGTGGGCATGCATAACACGGCATAACACTGGCGCTAACTGTGGGAGATGGGGACCCCCCCGATTATTGACGGGTATTTCGCACACTGGCTGGAAGTTCCCCGTTCTCCAGCTCCACCTGTTCTGCGCTGGACTGTGCTTCCGGAGGCCACCCATGCCCCCGACTCCCCGTCGCCTGGTGTGATGTCCAAACGATATCCGGTTCGCGCCATGAGGAAGGTGGACTTTATGTTGGAGACAGCAGATTCTGCTGCCCGTTTAAGTCACACAAGCACATGTCCACGTTCTTTAATAAAGCATATTTCACTGTCGTTTCCAGGTTTGAAGCCAAGGGCGCAGTCAGAAATAATGACAAGAAAAATAATAAGCAGTCAGGTGACTGTGCCGCTTCTGAGGGGAGCTGTCACCTCCCTCAGCAAGCGGACGGTAACCGAGTCTTTTGCACTCCTTTCACTCTCATGAGCGAGAGGTGGAAAGCGCTCACAAGCTCAGCTTGGGTGTTGAGGACGATATCGCGGGGCTACAGGCTCCAATTCGCTGTCGCTGTCACTCCCCCTCACTTCTCGGGCAATGTGCCCGGGGAGAGTCGGCCCGTATTCTAGAGCAGGAGATTTTCTAGCTGTTAGAAAATAAAGAGGCCATAACTATAGTGCCCCCCGAACAGAGTCAGAGCGTCCCCAAACGGGGAGGGAACGGAATTCGCCCTATCCTGGATTTAAGGGCTCTGAACAAATACCTCGCTTGCCTCGCTCATTTCCGGCCACGCAAATATGCTCTCTTCAGATCATGTCTGCGGTTGCTGGGGCTCATGGCGTCAGCCATCCTGGTCGTACCACTGGGCCGCTTACACATGAGGGATTTTCAGCGCTGGGTAGCTGCCCTCAGACTGGACCCCGTGCGTCATGGCGCACAGAGT